CTGCAACCATAAAATTACTAGAACAAGTCCAAAACTCGACAAACCTTCCGTCTTTTTATGATATAAGTAAAGCACCAGATAAAAGACTAATATCTAGATACCCGATTTGGGCAATCAAGAACACAACAGATAACCAACAAAATATGTGGAAAAAATGAGAATGTAGTTAATAGTTCCCTCATCAATGACTCAACTCAGAGAGTTCCAGTATTTGAACTAACTCGTGCAATGTGATCTGCTTTAAACTGTATCAGGACAAAACAGGGAAAATTTAAGTTCCTCTTACATAAATGGAAAATGTCAGATACTCCACTCTGTAAGTGTGGGCAGAATCAAACCATAAAACACAGTCGAGATATGTCCACGGACAAAATATGAAGGAGGGATAGAAGAGATCCACAAAGGCGGCAGTGAGGCACAAGATTGGCTACGCAACCTAGAAGTACACCTTTAGAAATGGGCTAATTTCTGTATATATCGTGTATTTGTTACAACTTTCAGCCACACTCAAAATTACATGTTGCCACAGTCATCTATGTACTTATATATTTATTTTATTTTTATATTTTATATTATTTATTTAATTTACTATTTTAAAAAATAGTTATGTATGTTTTCACCAAAGACGACGCCATATGAAAGAAAAAAAATATTTTAAATAATTTTAAATGTTTTCCATTTATTTAAGATGATTTTGATTATTTTCTTTTGACTTATTGAAATTTTATCTTTTAAAGAGGTATTACAAACCCCCCCTCCCCAAGTTATTATGCCATATTGGATTGATGATTGAGCCATTGTATAATATGCTATTATAATAAAGTTTTTGTTTAATAAGTTTTCAAAATGAATGTTCCATGTTAAATTTTGATCAATTGTAATGCCGAGATAATTAGAGAAAGCTTGTTTAAATAATTTAGGGCAGGTGCACGTTGTGGAGTTGCAATTTAATTGATTATGTAGTGATTTCACTTTTTTGTAGTGTGGTGTAGTTCTTATACCATTGCTGAAATCAACAAATTTGGATTTATCATAATTTATTAACTGAAAACCACTTATCTATTATTAAAATGTCAGCTTCAGATTTATTCCAAACCATATCCTAGGTAGAATCTGAGACTATGTGGGCCGTATCGTTAGCATATGAATGCATTTTACCATTGATATTAAGCTTGCTTAAAGCAGCTATGTACATTGTGTATAAAATTGGTGAGAGCTGTACCTTAAGGGACTCCATTATTGATTTGGCCTATTTCGCTTACTGTGTTACCTAATCTGACCTGTTGTGTTCTTTGTTCTAGGTATGACTTTGTAAACTTAGGTAAAAATTTGTAATGCTGTCCCAGCAATGCCAAAACATTTTAAACCATTACTAAAATAGAGTGAGATATACTATCAAAGGCTTTATTGAGGTCTAAGAATATGCCAATTATCTTTTTACGTTTGTCTAAGTTATAATAGATTTCATTCATAAGATGAACCAAGGCCTTCAGTACCTAAACTTTTTTTAATACTGAATTGAGAAGCAGAGAGTATATTATTTTCTTCTAAGTAATTCAGTAGTCTTGTTTAAATTACTTTTTCAAATATCTTAAAAAATACATTTAGTAAACTAATTTGTCTGTAATTAGTTAAATTTATTTTAGGCCCAAATTTGTTGGCAAAAAAAAAAATGAATCTGTATTAGAGTTATAAGTATTTTTAATTTTTAAATTGATAATTGATGGATTTGATATATTTTATGTAATTGCTCGTTTAATATTCTCTGACATAATAGATGTTATAAAAATAAATATAATATAACATTGTGTATCATTGACAGGGTGAACATTTACTTGCTTATTAAGCCTAGTATTTCTTTGTTTTTAAATATTACCTTTTAAATAATTAAAATAATTATTACAGACTATCAGACATCTACATTGGGGTATTGTACTTTCATTCATCCTACCAAGTGTTATTCATAAATGTACTCTTAGTCTGGTTCCACCCATTTTCAGTGGGAGATAACATTACCACCACAAGTTTTATACAGTGGTCTAAGAGAAACAAGTATAGCAAAAAAATGAGAGAATTGATTTAGATAAGTGTAGACAGAAACTGGAGAAAAGGTAGATTAAAGACAAATTGGCTAGATGTTATTGAAGAAATATGAAGTGTAATAGCAGATGGATAATGCATAAGTACTAGATTAACTCCACTTATGTTGGATAAAGGTATAGAGGAAGAAGATATAAAAATATGTATGCAATATACTTTATTATCTAAAATCTATTTTAATTATACATTACAAACGAGCAATTAACACAAATTAGTTATTAACTGCAAAATAAAATAAGTCAAGCAAAGATATGGGTCAAATTGCAGAATAAGATATTATAAACATTACTGGTTTTTGAAAGTAATGATTAATTGAGATGTTCTGTAACATAAAAAAAATGTAATAAAAATTCAAAGTATTTACTCATTTGTTGTAATTAAATTAAAATTCTCTTCTATGATATTTATCCGGTTCCATAAATGAGGTAACCACTACACGGTTATTAAATTTTCGGCCAGCCAAAGCTTGTTGCGCTTTTTGACAGTCAACAGTAGTATTAAATTCTATAAATACCTGAGGAATAAAATTTGTGAATTAATTATATCATTAAGAAATAACAAAATTTAAAATTAATACTTTTCCGCAACCAGGCACGTCAATTCCTTCAATAGGTCGTGGAATTTCTAATGATCTAACAACACCATATTTATTACACTCTTCACGAATATCTTCTAAAATATCTTCATATTCTTCTTCGTCTTTAAGTTCGTCAGGAGTTACCATATTCAATAAACATAAAACCTGAAATCAATCATAAATTAATTCTAAAAATAATTATCACTAATATTTCTAACTAGACATAAGTTTTACAAAAGGTTTTATTGACCACATTATAACTTTCAAATGTAAAATTACTCTATTGTATACATAAAATCAAATCAATACTACAGTGTTAGTAATAAATATTTATCACACAACAAAAACATTATATATATGTGTATATAAAAAAAAAATACATCACTGTAAAACAAATAGACCTTTCAATTCACACAAAATCTAAAAAAAATTGATATTTTATAAGATGTTTAAGTATTACTTTGTAATCCATTTAAGTGGGTACACTTATTATCATGGAAAGTATTAACTTTTTTCTGAATTTGTTTTTTATAACATTTAAGAAACAAGCTGCTCTACAATTTTACATTTATGTAATTATGTAATTATACACCATTATTTTTGGGGGTAAAACTACCTACTTTTGTTTTTTAAACGGCAACCTATATTAAAAATGTCATAAATAAATTGAGTATTAGTTAAAATAAATTTGAGTGTTGAAATTTTTAATTTTTGTCAAGTCGTTGGCGAGATATTCCACTTTTAAGTTTGGGTTGGAGGAGAGCAGTGGTTCATTATTAATACGCTGCATGCCATACTGCAATATACACAAATGATACTACTCTACTAATTTCTTCCAATCCAAACTTAAAAGTGGAATATCTCGTCAATGGAAATCAAAAATTTCAACACTCAAATTTATTTTAACTAATACTCAATCTATTTATGGACTTTTTAATATAGATTGCCATTTGAAAATTAAAAGTAGGTAGTAATTTTACCCCCAAAAATAATGGTGACAAAAAATAACATAAATATAAAATTGTAGAACAACTTGTTTTTTAAATGTTGTAGAAAGCAAATTTTGAAAAGTTAATACTTTTCGAGATAATGAATGTAGCCATTTAAATGGACCAACCTGGTATAAATATGTAATACCATGGATAAATGCAAAGTAAATTTAATTTAAATATACATTAATTCATTTTATCACATCTTCATAATCCTTAAACATCTTACTATAAATTACTGATTTGTAAGATTTTGTGTGAAGTGAAGGATTAATTGGTTTTACAGTAATCTTTTTTTTTACTTAGCCATTTTTTACAAGGGGTTTAACGAAATGTTTTTATTATGATATCACCAATACCTCAATATATTTTTATTAGTTTTGCCTCTCGAGGATAATAATATAAACGTCATTTATCACTATGAGGCTATCTTTAATAGAAGTAAGGTCATTACGTCTAAACCAAAGATTTGATTTTATTTTTCACTAAACTTGAGTAATGGTAGTGGTTTAAAGAGTCCCCATGGCAGCAAATTGTAGAACATAAACTATACATAGTGTTCAGTGTCAGTCATACTTGAGGTGCCATGTATGAACAGTTTTTAAATATAACTACTATAATATAGTATATTTTACTATAAATAATTAACAATAATAGACAAAACACATTGTTTTAACAACTAGGTTAAATAAACAGATAACACGCTATGAGTATTGACGAGGCATTGACAAAATCATGTTAACACCGATAATGAAATGAAACAAATATGTCAAATAGCAATAATTATAATGAAACGAGTCATTGTATGATTTCCCACCTAGTGTACCAAGACTTTACACGGTATACACGAAGTTAAATGGGGGACTGGTCAATGTGAAAAGTGACATTGAAATGTAAATTTTCATTAAAAAGCTTGGATGTTTCTTTTAATAACTTCATTTCTAATTTCACGATTTAGATAATTTTTACAAAAAGGTTCATTTGCACAATTTTTCTAATATTTTAATGTTATTAGGTATTAATTGATCACTAAATAATTAGTTATCTTGAATAACAAAAAAAAAAAAAACCAATAATTACACGGTTTAAATGAGCAACTTCTGATTCGAGGTAATATACAATGTCATATCATGGCTATTATTATTTTTTACTTAGATTGCACAACAACTGCGGTGCTGGATTACAAAAATAATAACAATAAGACAGTTTCAACCGGGGCACAATTATTAACCGTGAGTTATACATTTTATTTACCTCGGTTGGAGGTCCTGCAGTTCCAACAACTGTTAGTCCAGGAACTTGAATGGTAACAGGTACTTGTCCAAGACCTGGATTTTTAGCACCAATACTTGCTCTCTGTACAATTAACTTTTTCTCTCCCAATTGCATACCGTTCAAACCAGCAATGGCCTATGATATTAAAATTAAAATTATTATATTCATAAATATACCTAGTTGATGAACATTTAGGTATGTACCTGATCAGTCATTATAACATCTGCATACTCACAGAATGCATAACCTTTACTCAAACCAGTGGCAGCATCTTTAACCAAATTGAAGGCTTTTAACTGACCAAATGATGTCAGTAGTTCTTTCACCTAATATGAAGCATAATTAATTAAACATGTATTTTACCCCGTTACATAGAATTTTGTATTATTCATAAAAGGACCCTTATAGTTGTATTCCATACATTTATATATATATATATATATATATAAGAAAATTATACTAATTAAAAAAGTATATTATTTCATATTTTTTATTTTTTATATTTATATTTATTTTTTTTTTTTTACAATTTATTTAAAATTTAAAGAAGCAACCCCCTAAGAGATTCAATTCATTTATTCTGTTTTTAAAAATATCTTATTATAATTCCATTTGTAAAAATTATAATTATTGTTTTATATTAAATATGCATGCATATTATGAAAATTACAATGTGAAGGTATGAAAGACATTAGAAAATGTACTATAGATTTAAATTTAAATTATCTGATATTAAAATTACTGTTAACCAAAACTAAATTTAAACCAATTACCTGAAAAAGAATATACTAAAAATTATTTTGTTTTCATTTACCTGTTTTACAACCGTTCTTTATGCAAATAAAGAAGACTCAATACTAAATATTTGTAAAGTAGATTATTTTTGAGTTTATTTTAGTACTAATAATAATATAATGTATTATAGTATTACATTTTTAGACTGATCTCTTCATTGACCTTAATATTTACAACTTGTATAAAAAAAGGGAACTAGATTTTTTTTAAAAAAAATTAATTTACTTTTAACTAAATAGATATTTTATTGATTTATTGACAGATATTTTTAATACAATGAGCATCCATTACTGAACACAATATTTTAAGTTGTTAGGTTGTAATTTAAATATATTTCTATGGAAAAGAAATGAACGAAAAATAACCTTTGTATGCATAACCTGAAGAATACAATGTCACTAAGAGAAAAAAAAAAAAAAAAAAAAAAAATATTATTACAATTACACTAGTATTAATGATTAAATTGAAATACAAGTTTCACTATTATAAAAATACAATTAATTTAATTAGGTTAAATTAAAAGAAAAACAAATTTCTTGGAGAAATAAACTCACTGACCACCATCTTTATGATAAATAAATTAATGTATCACCTGAAGTATTATACTATGTGTCAAAAAAGTCAAAAAGTAAAATGTGACTGACTATGCGAATTCACCTGACGACAAATTTTTAATTCCAAACTGATTGTACAATACACATATCATAATACTTCAGGCAACACATTAATTTATTTATTTATATATTTATTTACGAGTACTAACCATTTAATAATTTTGTTTTTACTTTGTTATGATAAATAAAAGGAGTTTTCTTTAATTGTATATACATATATATTACTCATGAAACATATAGAACGGTTTAAGCCCTAAGAAACGTAAACATAATAACCTATGTAATATTCCGAAACACCACTTGCCTGTTTGTCGATTTGGACAAGGCGACCGAGGAAGCAGTTGGTATTCAGAGTTTCATTTTCAACCAAGTACCCTAGCTAGGGGCAAGGGGTATAGCAGAGGAACAATAATTATTATTAGCTTATGACTGTTTCATTGGATTTTTAAATTTGATTTTTTGTCTTTTTGGTTTTAACAATTTTTACTTACATTTGTTTTCAGACAGAAAGAAAAGTAAATGTATCGCAAGCATAACGAAAAGTCAATAAAAGGCTGGCAAGGAGTGTCCATGTTCTTACGACGACCCTAAATAAATACCCCAGGTCCCTGCAAATCTAAACTGCTATATTTTAATACATAAAACAAGAACATATTTTCTGAAAAAACAAAAAATAAACCTGGAATTTATGTGCTGAAAATTAAAAAAAAAAATTAGCACTATATTTATTTGACCTTCTTCTCGTTCCATGTATTGATATTGACCTAATGTACCTCTGCTAATGATGGACCAGAATGCTAAAAATAAAGGGCTAGGTATTGTACTGCTCAAATGGCTTACCTGCTCATCATTTAGATATGCTGGTAATCCTCCAATAAATATTTTGTGGGGTGAATCTATAAGACATACAAATTATTAATGTGTAATACAAAATATATTTTGATTTTAAAACTACATACCTGGAACAGTTCCAAGACCAAATGAACTGGAATCGTATTTCACTAAAAACAAAAATATAAGAAAAAATATTAAAATTTGATTTTAAACAAAAAAAATATTCACTTACTCATGTCTAATGTCATTCCAGAATTATAATTTGTCACAGGATTACTCTCAGTCATTCCAGGTGTTGGCTGATAATCATGAGGTCGTCTTATTTTTAAACTTTGGCCTTTGAAGTTAATACCATCAAAGGCCATTGCTTGAGTAGTTTCATCTATAGATCTAAACTATAGATAAAAAAAAAAGATTATAAATAATCTTAACTTTTTTTCGTCAATAAAAATCATACCTCCAAAAATGCAAAATTCTTATCTAAATTAATTTGACAGGCAAGCACTGGATTACCAGCAGCTTGAGCCAATCCAGAAAGATGCATCTGTTGATTGAAGAACTCCATCATTTCATCCTAAAATTATATTTGATTACTAAATAATTTATGCCTTAATGATAAAATAATAATACCTCAGTTACACCAAATGGTATGTTTCCAACATATAATCTTCTTGCTTGACGTGTAATTGTGGATCCAACAACAGGGACTGCTGTTTGTGGGGTATCTGGCATTGTATTTGCAGGAATTTGTCCAGCAGCTAAACAATAAATAATCTTAAATAACCTTAAAGAGTGCACTATTTAATAATATTCTAACATTTATCAACTAGACTTATGAACCCATTGACAATATATTCCAGTTTTAAATTTGGGTAGGGGAAGTATATTGGGAATATCATTTGTGTAGTGGTACGATAGTGCTCCATTATTATCTCCTTAATCAAACTTATAAGTGGAATAACTCATCAACAGGTTGAGGGAAATCAAAAATGTTAACACCAAAATTGATTGAAATAGTCAAAAATTTTTTAAAATAATGATTGTTCAACGATAAAAGAATCGTTGAGTATATATTATAGAAATTAGTGAATACTTTGAGATACTTTAAATTACAACAATTTCATAATATAATTTAAAATGAATAATATCTTCTTAAATAAAAATTCTGAAAATAGATTTGAATTTAGTATAAAGAGTAAACAAGATCAGCCAGATCACTTTTTCATATTTCAGTCCTTAATTTTGAAGTTTTATTTAATAATTTTAAAATATACACATAAAAATAAAAATCTTAAAATAATTTTAAACTAGTTGAAATATTATTTTATTTAACAGCCATTAATATTAATTGTTATAAAAAAGTAAAAAATAAATAGTCAAGTCATTATAAAAGAAATAGGTACCTACCAATAATCTGACATTAAAAAAAGGCCTATATTCAACTTGAAAAATTAAAAATTTTATTTATTTTGTCAATTAAATTAAAACATTAAATGTGTACTTACTGAACTTTTTTTTAAAAGGAACTAAAATGTTTAAAATATCACAAAAAATATTTTTTAACAATATGGGCGCTTTCACACGAAGCCACTAAACTGCAATTCTCAGAAGCACTACTGATGGAAAAACAGAGGAGATATGGATGGTTTCACACAGGACCACAACCACATATTGAAAGCACTATTGATGCAAAGGTTATCTTTGTCGTAGAATGTGGAGTCTAGTTGTGGCCTCGTGTGAAGCCGTCATTTAAGTATACTTTTGGTAGTTTTATGAATATCTTAAAAATAATAATTAATTTTTTTAATTTTGATAAGGTACTTATGTTAATTTGTACCTATCCCACATCACAAAACTTCCTTTATTCAATTAGTGAATAAAAAAAATAAAGCCTTAAATTAACTATGTATACACATACCTTGCATGGCTTTATATTGAAGCGGTGCAATGTGTTCAAAACCTGGCGGAGGAACATCCCAATAGAGTGATGGCTTTCTGCGTCTAGATTTGTTTTTGGGCGACTTTGATCTACTACGTTTGCGTCCTTCGCGACTTCTTGAGCGATGACGGTGACGGTGACGATCGCGGTCCCTGGACCGTGAGCGACGTCGTCTTTCACCACGTTCTCCTCGGTCTCTGTCACGTTCTCTTTCTAAATTCCCAAAAAATAATAATACAGTTACTTACATAAACTAAGAGTACATATAGAAGTGTTACTATAGAAGTATTCATTAAACACTACCTTTGTCTTCTCCCATGGTAATTCGCTTGCAACTAATGTACCGAAAATATAGTTCAACAAACTAAATTTCACTATTTCACAATAACGTAAAGAATGAAGTGATTAGAGAAATAGTGAATATCTCAAATAGCTGATATTATTATTTATTACTTGATAGTTGTTAGAAATAGGTATTAGGTATACGCCATTGTGCCATTTTGTAGTTTGGTATTTGTATGCTACTTGCTAGTTGCCACTTGGTCCAAACTTCCAAAGAGGAAGAACAAACAATAATGTTACCACAACTAACCGCGTTTTTTTGTAACCATATACCATAAAAAGCAAATACAATGATAATGGTTATCAAAAACAAAAATGTAAACACGTGCCAATAAATAATATTATGAACAGTTTAAACGTTTAAAGTGATTTTATTTCCTAGTACATATTATTTACATTTTAATAAATTTAAGATGTCTATTAAATTAAGAGAAATGTAAGTTAATGAATTTAAATATTAATAATTAAGTTAGTTTATTGAGTTAACCATTCAATAGTTTAAATTTAAAATTTAAAAGCTAAAATAGTTTAACTTTTTTATTAGTTATGTATACACATTATTATTTAAATTTGGTTCTTTAGGATACTATAAATTTGAGTAATTTAATATTTCTATTATAAATATTTGATAATTACATACAACAAATCTATAAACATTCTCTGTCTTAAGAGGACGCCACACTTACTTCAGCTGTCTCAGTCCAATTACCAGGCAATGTGCAAAAACAATGCTTACGCAGACTAAGTAAAACTAGCTTAATTTTGATTTTAGTATAAAAGTACTTAATATGAAATTTATTGACATCAATATTTTGAAGTGAATTTCATAGGTGTTTTTTTAAAACTATGAACTATTATAAAAGTATTAGTTATTTAAAAACTAAAAAAAAAGTTCTTTTATATTGAACTGTATATTTAGAATAATACAAAAAACCTGTGTGATTCCTTTCATAATATTCGTCTCTGTAAATTTTATTGTATTACTTTTACCCTAAAATAAAATTTAAGCCAGTTTTACATAGTCTGAATAAGCATTGTTTTTGCATATTGCTCAGTAGTTGAACTGAGTTAGTAGATGCGGGTATGGCGTCCTCTTAAAAGACATACCCGTAGGTTTTAATTTTTAAATTTACACAGATTTAAAAAATATTAAGAATATATTTCATGCTTATGTGACTTACCTATCAATTCTAAAATAAACAGATAATTGACCCAAAATGAATTAAAAATAATAAATTATAATTTTAACTAAGTTAATAAAAATACCTCTGGAAAATTAAAGTGGATAATTTGAGAGATAAAAATATTAAACCAAAAAGGTTGTACATCTAACAAGATATTATTTAATGTTCCTAAAATAAATATGATTGGATTAATTTGGTTCTTTTAATGGACCAAGAGAAGTCCATTCAAAATGTCATAGTTAGAAATCCAACTAAAAAGTGATCATTGGAATTTCACATCAATGGTGGTTAGATAGTATCTTCTTTACCTGCATCTTCATCTCAACTATTTGGGGTTGTCAGATCGTCACCCTTGTTCTAAACTTTTTATTAACATAAATAGTGTAATAAAGATATTTAAGGTTTGACTGTTAAATTAAAATCGTAATTCCAAGAGATAAATAGAAAAGTTTGGTGGAATCGTACAAAAAGTATTTTCTTGCAGAAAAACAAAAATAAAAATTTAAACTAATTACTTACAAATACGGAAAAAAATGTGTATTTTATTACAGTTAATAGTTCTATAAATCTAATAAATTATGTGTTAAAATGTATTTATTTTTTACAGATTTAAACCAGAATATGTACAAAAAGAGTTTTTTACTGGAGGTCATATTGAAGTAAATATCTAATATTTTCATTTTAATTTTAGTAATAAACTGATATAACTAATAATTAAAACTTAAATTAAAATATCTTAAATTTGTTAATTCATATTTTTTTTAAATGTTGAGTGTTAATTAACAATATAAAATACTACAATCAAAAATATTGTGTATACAAACATTTACATTCATATTTTATCTTAAAATCAAGAATGTCTTCTACCTATTAATATTTTGAATTTTTTTAATGTTACATATAATTTATTATAACATTAAAACTCGCAACTTTATAACACATAAACCATAAATATATTACTTATATTAAAGGGATAATATTAATGTATTAGCAATTATCATATGCTCAGTTAAATTAAATTTATTATATTTTAACTAGAAATTATGAACAGAAAATATATAATGTAACTTTCAAATTTCAATACTTAAAGAACTCTTATGTATGCTATTTAAATGCCATCATTTGTTTATATTATAATTGTATAATGTTTATTTTTTTTCTATTCAATTATCTATTATATATAGTATATATATAGGATTTAAATTATTTCTAAATTTTAAATCAGTAACCTGATGATGACAGCCGAAACTAAATAGTTAATAAATAAACTTTTTACACTACTATGTGTCTTGGTTTAAATTTTTTCCTATTAACTCTTAATAGTTTGCTATCATGCTCTTTAATAGTCATACTTATTATTTACTAGAGGTATTTTTGAAGGAAAATATGGTATTGTGCTTATTTTATTTATTTAATATGCATATTTATATATTTATTTAACAGTTATATTTTAATTTCTATTTACAGTGGACTCCAGATGGTAATAATTTATTATGTCAATGTGGTCCTCGAGTGTCAATATTAGACAATGAAACCACTACAATAATTGATACAATACCTAAGCGTACTGTTTCTGTAAAAACTGGCGATGAAGAAGATGAAGAAGATTTGTCTATTGATACAATAATAACATTTACTTTAGACCCAACTAGTAAAAATTTAATAACATCTCATAAGAGTGGTTTACTATGCACATGGAATTGGAATGGTAAGATCTTAATTACATTTTTAATTAAATCATTAAATACAGGTATTTAATTATAATAATAGTTTATTTATTGCCAATTTCTACACTCTTTTTAAGTGTTCGGTTCTAAATCTGGAGCTCAGCATGCTCTGGAAGTCATTACGGGCGCACATATTCCACTCTGGGTTAATCATTCTGTGTATTACCTCGTTTTTTCTTTTCTCTTTTCATTGTATTTTGGTTTAAATTATTTAAAAATATAAGATTTAATTCTTGGTGTTGTATAAGCTATTATTTCCTCATCACAGGCTGTCACATATTTTGTATTTTCAATCTGATACCTAACCTTACAGGTATATATTAAATTATCTGTAACAGTGGCTGCACCCGTTCCCATTATCCTAAAACCGCTATTTTCACATATAAGTAATGTATGTAACATAAATTGATTTTCAGAAAGAAAGTTAATCAAGTCATGGAATCATCTTCACAAAGGTCCAGTTGTACGATTAGCAATTACTAGTGATCAGATAATTGCATCTGGAGGAACTGATTCAATTATACGACTGTGGCAGTCTGAAAAAGCTCATTGTTTATATGCACTGCATGGGTTACAAGGTGTTACAAGTGTCATGCAGTTTTTGCAAATCTCAGAGTCTGAACATTGGTTATTTGCTGCTGATGATATGTCTGAAATTCATGTGTGGAATTGTGACAAAGGAAAACACTTATTTAAATTACAAGGCCATTTTAGTACTGTTACAGGAATATCATTCTATACAAAGCAATATCTCATAAGGTAATATGTATACAGTGATCAATATCACAAACATTGAACATCTTAGTTTTTTTTTTTTTTTTAGATAATTTAAAAAACAAGCAATTTTAAAATGTTGCATTGGCTTTATATTTGAGGGTTTTGAATTTTAAATGACTGATATGTTTTTATCAACAAATGTTATTAAAACTCTACTATTTCTTCTTCATTTTCTGGTTCGGTTATTGAGCCATGCCCCTAAATAGATTCCTTTCCATCCTTGCCTATCCTTCACGATATATATATAATTGAATCATTCCCATGTTCACTCTCACACAGTTATTCCAGAGGCATCTAGCTAATTATGTTCTTCGCAATAGTCGTTCTAACTATGGGTACTATTTTCCGCCATACATGCCCTGTCCACATCAGCCTCCTTTTCCTAGTCTTTATTGAAATTTCTAGTCTCTGAAACAATTCTTCAAGTTAATGGTAGTGTTATTTTTGCCATTTTCCTGTGTAGGATGCGAGAACTATAGAATTTCTTAGGATTCTTCTTTCAAACATTCTTAGTTTCGTCTCCTCATTTTCCTAAATGACCATCGCCTAGTATTGTATCCTAAATCGTGTATTTCATGTATTTGATAGGAGTATATCTCGCTTAGATCTGTAAGTGAGAGGTTAGGTTAGATCATCAGAATTGACATTCGTAAATCTGTTTATTAATATTTGCTGTTGCGTATCTTTTGTTATATTTATCACCCTCTATAAATTAAATTATATATATATACACATACATATAATTATTTATTGTTAAATAACATTAATATTTTATTTGATTTTTCATTAAATAGTTGTAGTAGAGATAAAGTTGTAATTTTATGGGATATACAATCAAAAAAACAATTAAAAACAGTAGCTTTATATGACAGTCTTGAAACAATGACAATATTACCTAAACAATTTTATATTCAAGGTATAGAACATAAATCATCTGGTATTTGTGTAGTTGTTGGAGGAGAAAATGGTAATCACATATTTTTTATTATTTTATTATTACTATACTAAAAGTTTTAAATATTTAGGTAATTTGCATATATGGGATGTAGAAAATAATATTCCTATATGTAAGGAAGATAATACTGAAAGTCAATCTAAAAAGTCTATTAAAAGTATTACAAATGTAATTTACAACGAAACTCGATCAACATTAGCTATTTGTTATGCTGATAATACGATTACATTACAAAGTTTTGGACCACAAAACATTAAGCAAACGGTTTGAATAGTTATATATTATATAATTTAAAATTATTATTATTGTTGTAATTACTTTTTTCAGTTATGTGGTTCAAATGATGAAATTTTAGATGTTACACTTTTAGGTAATGAAAGTAGTCGTAGTTTAGCTGTTGCCATTAATAGTTGTGATATTTACCTATTTCCATGGAACAAAAAAAGTATATTTTCTGATGATATTAGTGAATCATTTAAAGTTGAACTTGGTGTTTGTTTTAAACAACTAAAGGGCCACACAGATACAGTTTTAAGTTTAGTTTCATATAAAAACTTATTAATATCTAGCAGCAAGGTAATATTATAGCTTGCTTATTAGTTATAAGTTATTAATAGGGAAAGAATTTATATGTAAATGCATATTTTTATTAGAATAAGATATTCAAAGTTAAATAAACAATTATAATATAATGTAATTTAAGTTATTTTTATTAAAATGGTCTCAATTTTACTTTACAATATTTTAATGTAATTACACATTTCACCATTTATATTTTATCGTTAATTTCTATTTTCAGTCATCATCTTTAATATTATTTAATTATGATTAAAAATTGTTGATAGCATTTTATCAAGAACATTCTAACTAATTTTCATAATCGTGACTTTAAACAGATCAAAAATTGCAAAAATTAACATTTTTCCCAGATTTTTTTTTAGATTTGGAGTGTAGTGAGGAATGTATTGGTTAAAAAATCTTACTTCAATTTTTAAGTGTAGTTCCATTTTTGAAAGAAAATTTTAGTATTGTACTTTTAGGAAGATCAGTTTTTAATTTTCCTATTGGTTTTCATAATAATTAGGAAAATGTACGTTTATGTCTAAAAGAAACATCACTCTGAATCGTTTTTGTTAGCAATGGTTTATCGTTGCGTACACATATAAATTAAATTCCCCTATACATCTTATCTTCCCAACTTCTTACTTATAACATTATATCAAATTATGTTTGTTGTTTTATGCACATACTAATCAACTCCTTTATTATAAGTGTTATAACATTTTGATTTTAATATTATTTCATTTATTTTTTTATTAATAATATTTGTTTATTTTATAATATAATTTTTCCATAGGATCACAGCATTAGAGTATGGTTATACTGTAATGAAAGCAAGACAGCTGAATGTGTTGCTATTGGTTCTAGACATACAAGTGCAGTTAACACAATAGCCATTTCTAAATCTTTAGATTTTTTAGTGTCAGCCAGTACAGATACTACATTAAAATTTTGGAAACTTCCTAAACAATTCAAAATTGGTATAAGTCAATATTTATTGGAACACAATTTTAGCAATCTTTAATTTGTAAATTTTAATTTCAGGAGAACCAGACATACTGATTGTTAAATTAACAGAAGTTGCTCATGAAAAGGATATAAATAGTATTTGCATAGCACCTAACAATCAGTTAATTGCGACTGGGTCTCAAGATAAGTTGATTAAGGTAATTTATTTGTATATATATATTTTCTTATGATATTAATTTATGTTATGCTTAGATTTGGTCTGCAAATGATTTATCAGTTCTTGGAGTATGCAGAGGTCATAAACGAGGTGTTTGGTGTGTGCGTTTCTCTCCTATAGATCAAGTATTGCTATCATCATCAGCAGATACTACATTAAAAATATGGTCCATAAATGATTACTCTTGTATTAAAGTAACTAAAATAAAAAAACTAAACTAAATAAATAATTTATTCCTGAAAAATTAAACCTATTAATTTCTAGACATTGGAAAGTCATGATTCATCAGTTTTAAAATGTGGATTTTTGAATCATGGTACTCAAGTAACTAGTTGTGGTGGAGATGGCCTCATTAAAATTTGGTGTTTAAAATCTAGTGAATGTGTTACTACACTTGACAAACATTCATCAAAAGTGTGGGCTTTGTCGAGTAAGTATAATAATTTAATTACATATGATTTGTATTTAATGGTTATTTTCTAGTTGTGGAAGATGGTTCATATATGGTGACTGGCGGTACTGATTCTCGGTTAGTTGTTTGGCACGATCGAACTGAAGAAGTAAAAATATCTGAAGCAGCTGCTCGTCAAACTAAAGAATTACAAGACCAACAACTTCAAAACTTATTGAGAAATGAACAGTTGTTACCAGCACTTAAAATGTCTATTGTGTTAGAAAGGCCAAATACATCACTTAAAATAATTCAAAGTAAATTAGTTATATTTTATGATTTTTATTATAATTATATTATTAAATAATTACAAGTAATAATTTCTTCATTTTTGTAGCTTTATCTAAAGGAGGCCAAGCAGAAAATTTAAAAATGGTATTTGATAATATCAGTCGAGAACACAAAGAAAAACTGTTAGATTATGTTGTTGATTGGAATACTAATGGAAAATATTGTCTTGCAGCACAAGTATTTAACAATATTATTTGTTTAAAATGTATACTCTCAATTTGGGGAGTACGCCACCCTAGGTTGAGAGTCTTGGGTTTATAATATACATTTTAATTACAATATTTAAAAATTTGTTTTAGCTTGTATTAAATATTCTTTTGGAAGATATTATGTTGGGAAAATTAGATATAACTCAAGAAAAATTGCAAGGACTGATGGCATACAGTGAACGACACTACAATCGATTAACTACACTTATGACAAATACCCAATTTTTACGATATACTATTAATTGTATGGCACCTCAATCAAAAAATGAATAATGTATCAATCACATTTTATTTAACTGTGAAGTAATTCACAGTTAAACTTGAGTTAATTGTTTACTATAGAATTTTATTAAATAATTGATGCTATTTCATTCATTAAAGTTCTAAGTGCTATTGTCTTATCACATAATCTCTTTTGATATTCTAAATACTGTAAAGAAACTAGTAATTTTTTGTTGTAAATGCCACCAATATAGACTTGTCATGTGAAATGTACTAGCAATAAACTAGTATAATAAATATCTATTATCTATGGTATTAGCTCAAAATAGATTTATTGGTACTATTTTTTTTAGATTCGAAGTATTACAATGATGAATCTATTGGTTTTACTGTTTTTTTTTTTGTCTGTGAACAACTTTTGTACCAAAAATCTTGCTTTGAAGTATCAAGTGCAAAATATTTTCTGAAAGGTAATTTTTTCTAGTTAGCGCAATTAGACGGGTTATTTTTTGATTTCCCAAGGGGTTTTCAAAATAATTAGGAAAAACCAGAAAGAAATTTATAGGTAAAATAGAAAATATTTACAGTGCACTTCCTGATTTTTTTGTTTTTAATTTTTGCAACTTATGTTTTCTACCAGAAATATTCTAATTGACAAATGAAACGAGATCAATTTTGTTTCTTTTAGTATGGTAGCCACTGATAGAGAAAGTTTTATAGACAGCCCATGTTTGATGTACTAGCCATAAATAATAAATATTTATTATCTATGATATTTTAAAAATACCATTGTATAATGATTTACATTTTTTGTGTTTTATTATAGCACAGAATCAATATAATTAGATCCGATTTATATGCTTTAAAGTCCACAAAAAATCACCAGAGAATGTCAAAAACTTCTGAAAAATATTTAAAAAGCAGAAAAAAATTAATGGGTTTAAAAGTCCCTCTTTTAACGGATTTAACTTATAAAAAACATTTTCTAACACTACAAAAATTATTAATAAAAAGTAATTCTTTTTTATAATACCTATAAGATTTTAGTCATTAGTAGGGAGGGACTTTTGAACTCTCATTTTTCCTTTTTTTCAATATTTGTAAGTGCTTTTTACAGGGATTTCTTGATGTTTTAAAGCGCCTTTCTATGATTATAAGAGAATATAAATCCGTTTTCTAGATATAATAGTACTAAATGTATAAGAATTGGAGAATAGCGATGAGGAATCTATTGGTTTTATTATGATGTTTTTTTTCTTGTCTGTAAACAACTTTGAAAAGTAATCTTGTTCTGATGTACCTCTGCATAGTACCTTTTCTGAGAGCAAATTTTGTCTAGTTGTTACATTGGAGAAGTAATTTTTGATGTTCCAATGGGTTTTCGAAATTAGGAAAAACCCAAAAGAAAATCCTAGGTAAAACAACAAATATTTATATGGTGCCCTGGCGTTACCAATTTCATTTTTCTTAACTTATGCGACCCGTTTTCTAACAAAAATATTACTGCAATAGGAAAACGACAAGAGATCTCTTTTGTTTATGTAATGTGATTCAGTTAAAAATGTTTGTAGAGACTTAACATTTTGACAGAAAACTTATATTTGCATTTTCTAGACATGATAAAATGTTCAGAACATTTGAGTCATTTTTGAACTATTTAAAAACATTCCTATTTAGTAGGTACTCAGTAGATTATATTATACTTTATAAAAATGCTTGAAAATTTGAAAAGAGGTTCGTTATAAGGCATACTTAGTGGTAAAAAAAATTGAGTAATGTATTTTTTATGAGTTTTAAAATTAATTTTGATGAAAATCTTAATTATCACAGACTGTCAAATCATGTATACTTAACTGAACTTCGTTTTTTTGTTAATAATGATACATTGTTGGTTACGCCTAGAGGTATAATAAATAACTTTAAGTATCCAATATTCTTACCTTCTCAACTACCCATCTATAACCGTCGGTGGTCGCCAATATCAGCTCTTTTTTTTCATTCAATAGTAGATAATATAAATTCATGGATAATCAATATTTCATTTTCATCTATTCTGTGATAATATAATCTTTTTTATGATATAATGTATCAATACCTATTTTGTAAAAAATTATAGGTAATAGGTAGGTATTCTTTTCTATGGAACCTACTTAATATATTTGTACACACGTTTTACTTATAAAAAAATATACGATTATTTATGGATCATGCATTGATAATTGACATGATAAACATCATAGAAAATTATCATTTTAAATTTTCCAAATATATTCACTATCTTAATAATATGTATTATTTGATAAATCAATACACCGACTGATTTTGAAATTATGTAGCACAGAGTTTATAGTATTATGTAAATACATGATAGTATTAGCATAGATAATCTATGAGTAAATATATAGCTCTGATATATTCCGTGGTATGAATTACGATCATGACTAAATAAATAAATTACTATGTATGAATGTATGATCACAATGCACAACTTTATATTATATAAATTATAAATTTAGCCATTTGGTAATCTATGTGGATTATTGGACAATGGACATCACGGTTATGATAATCATAACAAATATTTTGAATTTTGATTATTATTGATTATACTGCTTACCTGTTTGGTTAAAATAATTTTACAATTATATTTTAAAATATTTATAATCAACTTTAATGTAAATTGTTTCCTAATACTTTGGTAAGTATTTACTGTTTATATTTGTTTTTAATCTAAATTTTTTTGTTGAATTAGTTAGTTTTGATTTTTAGAGTGATATAAATATATAATAATGATTGAAATGTTTTCTTTGATTGTTTCTATCAATATACAAATATTTTATTTGAAGTACTTTATAATTACTTATTTGTATCAATTATCATTATTTTACCAATGATTAAAGTCTTGAATAATCTATTAAACTAATTCAACAAATAACTATGGTTTTGAAGGGAAAAATCACTGTAAAACATTTTTAAGGTCTCCCCTTTTTAATTTTACAAGATTTTTTATCTTGTAAATAATTGATGATGAAGAATGTGTATTGAGTAACTTAGTGGTAGATACATGAAAACATTCTATCACTTCAACCATTCAACCTATATAATATTTGTATTATATATTTATATTTTTTAACAGATCTACATAGTCTTATCTACCTACTTGTCTAACAGAAATGGCTATATCAGAAATATTCAAGTATATCAAAGTAACAAATATTATAGCACAATGTTGTTTGATAACGTCTATTTCTGTTACTGTGGCAATATCAGTTTTATTACATAAAAGGAACAGAAAGAAACAAAATGAAAACATCACATTAACACCGTTGATAGTTATAACTGGCTGTGATACAGGTCTTGGATATTCAATTGTAATGAGATATTTAAATGGATCACATAGTCCAAATCAAAATTATAGTAAATTATTTAATGGTTTATTCAATCACAACAAACTAAAAATTCCAAGCAAGATTGCAATAGTTGCATTTTGTTTGAATCTTAACAGCACAGGTGCTAAATATTTATTTCAAAAATCAATTAATAATACCAATATTGAATTGTTTATTAGGCAATTGGATTTAACTGATAAAAATTCTATTAAAAATGGTGTAACTTTTATTATTGAATTACTTGAAAACAATCTTGATGAAAATGGTAAACACAATAAATATGGTAATAATATATTAATAAAAAAGTTTATTATTATACTATTATTTTAAAAATTGACTACATTTTAGAACTACATGCATTGGTCAACAATGCAGCTCGTATGGTGATGGCAGAATATGAATGGCAAACTATTCAAATGATTCAACAACAGTTTGAAGTTAATGTTTTGGGTCCAATTATGTTAACTGCACAGTTATTACCATCATTTCGCAAAAATAAAGGTAAATACTTTTAAAATTAATTATTTTTGTATTTTTATTATTTATATAGGTATGTTATTTAATATTATAACTTTAAAACTATTAAAATGACTATTACGGTGTGTCCCACCAGGTTCGATGGATTTTTCTAGAGCTATAAACATTTCCAAATTGTTATCCTCCTCAAAGACAAACCAATTGAAAAAAAAAAAATTGAAAAATATTTAATATTAATAGCTCTAGAAAAATACTTTGAACGTGGTCAGACACACTGTATATAAGAAAATTATGATTTTTTTTAAATTTTAATGAAATAATGAAAATTACATAATATTAGTTAACTGTACAACACAATTGTTTGTGTCAGCAATTTATTGGTATGTAATTCTCTTTGTAAATTATGGGTTTTAGTTTTAAAAAAAATGTCTTAGGATAATAGAGATAGGTGCAGCTACTGTTGTAGTTTGAAAGATAGTATACAGGTGACTTTTTTTATCATGAATCAACAATTATCTCTGAGGATTTTAAGTGACCTTGATTTCTGTTTTTTTTTTTTCAATCATTATGGATATTTATATTATTATCGTTTAAGTTTTATTTTAAAAATCATTTTTAATTTTTTACCCCTACTCCATATACCTTAAATAAGTGCATACTTTTGATTTTCAAATAGGAATCCCTCTCCCCTTTTGAACACAGATTTGAATAAAGAGTATTTTTCTAGAAATTTTGATATTAGTGTTATGCATATCAAAATTTCATATAATTGAGATAAATGTTGGTTCATGATAAAAAATCACCTTGTATAGGCAAGAATTTAATGTATATCTGTAAGCAACAATTAATTATCGCTAAAGAATAAACGATTATGAGTGGAGTTAAGTTTATAGTATTTTGATAGTATATATTGCTTTGTAAACAATATATATGTCATATTATGGTAAAATAATTACATATTGTACTGTATTGGACAGTTTCTTTAAAAAAATTTGTTTAATATTGTATCTATTTTCCCGTTTTAATATCATTATCATCAAATATCATCTTATTCCGTATATCAAAGTAACCTCCTTAATTTACCTCCCTAGTCCGATTTTGTTTCAGAATAAGTGGTATCATTGTAAATCCGAGTGAAATTGCTGGTAGAAAAGTTGTCTACAGAAAAAAAACAATAATAATAAACACTATACAACCAATACATTCCTTTTGTTATTTTACGTTTAAACTTTTCAAACTGTTTTTAAGTATTACATTGTAAACACAATTTATTTAATCTCAGACAAACAAAATAATATACAGTGACACTTGTTTTAAACCTCAATTATCTTTGTTGGGTTGAGTGGCTTTAATAATGATAAAAACAAATTATAGGTACATAATATACTATTATATACTATATATGCGTACAATACCTTATCGGTTTCTCCATGACCATTACTGTGAAAAAAAAATGTTCAACCATAGTAAAAGTATATAAAAAATTATTTTATAAATATCATAAATTATAATATTTTTTTTTAAATTTCATTTTGAATTATAATTATTTTTAGTAAATAGTGTAAAAATTAATTTTAAAATTAATTCTAGGTCGTGTGATTAATATAGTTAGTCATTGTGCACACTTTCCACTGCCTGGAATATCTGTTTATGGTGCATCTAAAGCTGCTATGTATGCATTTACAACTGCATCAAGAATTGAACTTGAAAATCATGGTGTAAACATGATCTCATTTTTTCCAGGTAGCCAATAATAATAATTTTTCTTTAAAATTTGTATTTAGTATAATTTGATTTAATTCTAGGATCGTTTTATCTTCATTCTGCCATTATGTGTGGTGAACAACGGGCAATTGATTATATTCAAATGCATAAATATATGAGTAAAGAACAATTAGCTTACTATGGTCTTTATTTTGATGCCTATCAAAATTACTTAAGTTCTATTGATGCATTTATTAATCCTCCAGAAACCACCATTCCTAGGACTAATAAAATATACTGTTACATGGATAATGCATTGTGGGCAGTTCATCCTAAAGCTGAATATAACGTACCAGAACCATGGCGGTATAGGATCTATTCTGCTTTAGCTTGTACTCTTTCTACATTAGGTTTACATAACTTTAAAGATAAGGTTGTACGTCGATTTGTGGCCACCCCAAAATTTGAAAATTGCATTGAGACTTAAGAAAAGTTAACTTAAAAAAAAATTATTAAAATTAATGATTAATATTAAAAACATTTTTTTTTTTTTTTTACTTTTCTATTAACAATCAATAATTCATAAGAATACAGTTTTATATTAATGAGAAAATAATTATTTAAACTACTTGGATTAAAAAATTGTCCAAGCTCTTAAGTATACTTTTTAATAAATATATTTTTTTCTCACTTTGTCTACTACAGAAGCCATGCCTAAGCTACCTCTTATGTACCCAACCCACTGACTCTACTCTATTATTTGTATGTAAAGAGTTCAATGACTCATCCCTTACTTTATCTTCTCTTGTCACTCCATTCATTCTCTGTTCTATTTTTCAGTCACCGCCCTATATTCTAAACCACAAAACATATTCAGTCACCACACTTTTATAGAATTTAGCATCAAGTCTCATTAGAATTTTGTAAATTTTCTTATATAAAACACTTGATGCTTCTCTCCACTTAATC